ACCCCTACGATTTTCACAGTGCCTTATTTAGTATTCTACAAAAGGTTTGGATACAATATGCTAAGCCGTTTTTGTTGTAGGCTGGCAAGGGGATAATAATAATAATAATAATAATTACAAAAGGGCTGTTATTGCGGAATTTCTTTTCCTTGTAAGTCTAACATGCATGCTTTTTTTTCTGTGCATTTTTATATGTGTACAGTCTTAGCAGTCAATAGTAAATGTTTAAAAGTGTTGTTTGAACTGAATCTTTACTGTTTAAAGTGTTTTTTGCCTGTACGTTCTATTAAGGTTTTGTGCAATTCCTTGCTATCCCTATTATGAGCCACTACAGTGGTTCATGATTAGTTGTTGTAAATTTCCATATCAGTATTATATACATGCATGATTTTATTGGACCATGTGAAATAAACTAATTTGAATTGAATAGCTCCCCTTTGACACTTCTTATAGAAATTATAAGTTTCAAATAGCGCTTACTTTTGTAGTGGTCGTTTCTTGCGCTCAGTAAAATGACAAGGAGTCCTAACATTTTTATCAACAATGCATTACAGTCAGCCCCCTTTGCTTAAAAACAAACGTAATGCAATTTTCCTTATTAAAATAACACATGGAATGACTAAGGCCGACTGTAAATGGCCTACAAGACAATCATGCTACATATGTGTTCTGATACAAGGGATTAGACTGACGGCACATTATAATTCATTCATCACTATTTTAAAGAAAATTACCGTTAAATTGTTTCAACAAGTATCAGCTAGTATACATATCAATCTCATATTATAGCTCCCAAGTGGCTCAGCGGTCAATAAGCGAACTTATAACGTGGTGGACACAGCACAGATAGCCCATTGTGTAGCTTTGTGCTTAACTACAAATAAACCCATATTATATTAGATAAATATTTACAGTTAACAAAATATTCGTGTTTCATAGAAAATTAGTTTTGATTATTCAAAGTTATGTTTTTAACCGACATAAATATCTCCCCTCCTTCTCCGGTGGCTCAGCAGTAAGCTTGATGGCTTGTACACGAAAAATCTGGGTTTGTTACCAGTGATGGGCACAGTGCTGATAGGCATATGTAATTATGCGCTTAAAAAACAAACCTTCATAAATAAAGATGGACACTTAGAAGCTTCACACTTATAATTATATAATTCATAAAATAAAAATAGAATTATATTAGCAATGTCAGTGATAAAATGAATTAAACTTCACAATTAAAAAATTCACCAACTGAAAACATAAGCTTTATCTTATGGATTCAATCCTGAAGTGTTTGATCAATTGTATAATTAATTATAAAATTATTATCAGTTAACCGACTACACGCACACGGAGTTAAAAATTTGAATATATATTGCTATTCAGATTAAGACAATTGAATCTGATTATGCACATCTCTCATAAATAGTGGCACAGCGATATGTTTGCGGAATGACAACGCTAGAATCCGGGTTTCGATACCAGTGGTGGGCAGAGTACAGATAGCTCATTGTGTAGCTTTGTGCTCTAATAAATGTGCTCTATGCGTAAATAAAAATAATGTAGGCTATAGGAAAATACATGAGATATGAATAAATACTGTGGTAAGCTGTTTCGAAATCTTAATAAGATAAACACGCTATAAAGGTATTTTTCATTGTACAATGACTTCTACATGATAATTTCATGGATAATATTTTGGTAAGTGTCCTGTATTTATTAAAAAAATTATACCCTTAACGTTTCTTACATTATAGTATTTCAATTATCTTTTGATAATATACTTGTAAAATAACTTATGTGGTGTCATGATATATAAGACAATAACATAACAGGTATATGGTATCATATATAGTTATCAGTGTTGTTAGACATAAGCTCGGTCCTGCCATCTAGCATAACGTTTTTAAACTATTTTACATTATAGGTTAAAATATGTGTTCACATCACATGTATAAACAAGCTGACGTGTTTGCTCATTACGGGGAAGACACGGGAAGGTCATATCCGAACTCAGACTATCCTATGTAACTCCTAAGAG